GGCCGGATTGATTTTGTCTTCAGGAGTTCCGCGGTGGCCCAACTCCAATGTGGATCAGAAGTTTTCAGACTTTCTCCTTAGGTCTGGAATCTTATAAGAATGCTTTTGGCCTCAGGAACTTGGGTGTTGGACTGACCTGGGACCCTGGCCGTGGCCGCACCACGCAGTGATGCAAATGCAGATGGGGCGGGAAGAAGCCCCAAGATTTCCCAGGGAGTGGATTGAGTATCTGGGTTGTACTGGAGGCAAAGGATCAGGGAGAGTAAAGGTAAGCCTCAGAGCCCCAGAAAGAGGCTATCAGCCCCAGAAAGAGGCTGGCGGGTGTTGCAGGACCAGGGAAGTAGAGGGAGGTGAGGGTGGGGCCAGGTCTAGAAGTGGTGCTCCTGGAGCCCAAGAAAGGCACTAAGTTAGTCTGGGTGAGAAGGGTCAGGAAGCAGTATTGGTTCCCCCGGTGTCTGGGGCCCAAAGACTAGGGATGGTGCAGGTCCCAAACTAGGAGTAATGAACAGCGAGGGAGATGGAAGAGTGAATGTGGCCTGGGGAGTCAACTTGCGGAGAGCTGCGCTATAGACTTACCCCAAGAGGCCTGAGATAGGGGGTGCAGGCTAGGAGAGTTAGCCGGTGGTGCAGGTCCAGAGATGCAGAGAGAGGTGAGGGCGGGGCCAGGACCAGAAGCGGTGCTCCTGGGGCCCAAGAAAGGCACTAAGTTGGTCTGGGTGAGAAGGCTCAGGAAGCAGTATTGGTTACCCCAGTGTCTGGGGCCCCAAGACTAGGGATGGCGCAGGTCCCAAACTAGGAGTAGCGAACAGCGAGGGAGATGGAAGGGTGAATGTGGCTTGGGGAGTCGAGGTGCGGAGAGCCACGCTATAGACTTACCACAAGAGGCCTGAGGATAGGGGGTGCAGGCTAGGAGAGTTAGCCGGTGGTGCAGGTCCAGGGATGCAGAGAGATGTGAGGGCGGGGCCAGGACCAGAAGCGGTGCTCCTGGGGCCCAAGAAAGGCACTAAGTTGGTCTGGGTGAGAGGGATCAGGAAGCAGTATTGGTTCCCCAGGTATCTGGGGCCCCAAGACTAGGAGTGGTGCAGGTCCCACCCTAGGTGTAGCAAACAGCGGGGGAGATGGAAGGGTGAATGTGGCTTGGGGAGTCAAGGCGCGGAGAGCTGCACTATAGACTTACCCCAAGAGGCCTGAGGATTGGAGTGCAGGCTAGGAGAGCCACACTTGTCTTTTTATATGTTGGTATTGTTTGAAACACAAAGTTTTTCATTTTAATGTCCACTTTATGCTTCTGTCCTAAGAAATAATTGTCTACCCTAGTGTGGAGTCACAGCATATGCCCCAACAAGCCAGGTTTGGCCATCTGCCTTCCTTAAGCCAATTAAAAGATCAGGTTAATAGTGAAAAGCAGAAGGAGGCATATTCAATGTGTCTACTTTGAGAAGAGGAACCAAGAGTAACCCACGTTCATCTTCCAGGGCCTGACATGAGGCAGGCAAAAGATGTGTCACTTGAGGCTGCAGAGATGAATTAGAGGTTCAGAGCACTTAATGGTCTTGCAGAAGACCCAGGTTCAGTTCCCAGCACCTTCATGCAGACTCACAACTGCAGCTAGGCATATGCACAACCCCCCCAAATATACATATATGTAATTAAAAAGTAATCTAACCAGGTGTGGTGACACACACCTTTAATCCCAGTGCTGGAGAGGTAGAGGCAGGCCTGGTTTACATAGTGTGTTCCAAGCCAGCCAGGGTTACATAGTGAGACCCTCAAAATAGGGGCTAGAGAAATGGTTCAGTGGTTAAGAGCACTGGCTACTCTTCCAGAGAACCTGGGTTTGGGTCCCAGCACCCAAATGGCAGCTAACAACTGACTAACTCCAGTTCTAGGAAATCCAGTTCCCTCTCCTGGCCTCCATAGATATTGCTCAACTTGGGTGCACTTAGATACAAGCAATACATTCATACACATAAAATAAAAATATCCCCCCCAATTCTATAATGGGAGATGTTAGGGGCTGGAGAGATGACTCAGTGGTCAAGAGCACTGTCTGCTCTTGCAGAGGACAGGAGTTCAGTTCCCAACACCCACATGGTGGCTAACACAACCTTACATAACTCCAGTTCCAGGAGCTCTAACTCCCTCTTCTGGCCTCTGTGGGCATTGCACGAACTGGGTGCACTTACACACATGCAGTACACGTATAAAATAATTTAAAATAAAAAAAAAATTTTTTTGGTCTTTTTGAGACAGGGTCTCCCTGTAGCCCCAGCTGTCCTGGAACTCACTGTGTAGACCA